TTACGGACATGATCGCGGCGCGGAGAATGGCCCTGGCAGAGGCTGCTCCGTGCGGCTTAAAGCCTCGAGTGAGCTCCACCGCCCGCAGCTGCGCTCACCTACCGGCGCCAGCCGCACCCCCGCGCCGCCCCGTGACGTCACCGCCGCCTCGGCCACGCCCCGGCCCCGCCGCCCGCGCCCCCAACCAGCCCCCGGCACACCTTCCCGCAGGCCCCGCCCACTGCTCCGCGGGGGCCGGGGACACGCCTTCGATGACGTCAACGCACTCTTGCCCGGGCTCTCCTGCCTAGCACTTGCAGCTGCTGCTGTTGCTGACTCTGGCCAAAATCCGGGCCTGGCTAGCAAAAGCGCGGTGACTGACAGGTGTGTCCCCTCCCTGAAAACCTCCGGCCCCTGCCAAGTTCATGAACGCGGCGGAACACGCGAACTGACACAGTTTCTGTGATCGCGACTCTTCTCATCCCGCCGATGCTAACTCTACCGAAGGGCTGGCTGGGTTGGGCCTGGTCTGCCCGGACCTCACGCGAGTGCCCTGCCTAGACAAACATCCATCTGCTTCGTTCCATCTCTTACTCAAAGTCCGGGAGTCACTCTTACCCCACTTTTGGGCGTTGATAAAATTTGGGATAGGAGATAAAATATAGATTAGAGCTTTCTGGCCCAGGCATGCTACTAAAGCCCCTACCTTAGGTATTTTGGATGGAGAATTTAGGATTTGCAAAGCATTTACCTTCTAGATGTTTTCAATTCTTTACCTGAATAATGGAAGCACTGGTTATTAAAAACCAAATATAGCAACATACTTGGACTATTTCTTTTTTCTTTTTTTTAATTTCAGAATACTATGGAGGTATAAACGTTTTGCTTTCATAAATTGCTTTTGTATGGTTTGAGTCAAAGTTACTGTACCCATTAGGTGTGAATTTACCCATCCCCTCCTACCCCTCCCACGTGCTTGTTTTCCAAAGAATGTTATTTCTATATGTGCACATAAATGTTGATCGATTAGTTCCAATTTAATGTGAGTACATGCAGTGTTTGTTTTTCCATTCCTGTGATATTTCACTTGGAAGAATGGTCTCCAGTTCCACCCAGGTTAATACAAGAAGTATGAGTTGACCATTTTTTATGGCTGAGTAGTACTCCACATATTTGGACTATTTCTAAATTTTAGGCAGGATAAAGAGCTGAAAATACTAAGTACTTAGAGTTTTAATAACTAAAAATATTTTAATAACAACCAACGAAAGTTCTAAGATCTTTAACCTTCCAACAATTCTATAAAGTAGGGCCTGTTTTGAAGCCAAAGACACAAGATCAGAGAAGACAAATAACTTTGCCAAAGTCACATAGAATGTAAGTGGCAGAGCCGTCTGAGTTCACATTCCAAGTTCTTAACCATGACACTATGGCATGCAAGAATCTAGATATTTTTCCTACCAAAATAAATTTTTACATAAACACTGAAATTTATTTCACCTCATGCCAATTTACATGCTGCTCTCCAAAATAGTTCAAAGGTTTCCATGGCAACAATATAACTCCAAAGAGCTTTAGTAGTCTAAGGCTGCAGTCCCCAACCACCAGGCCACAGGGGAACCTGGCCGCACAGCAGGAGGTGAGTGGTGGGTGCACCAGGGAAGCTTCATCTGTATTTACAGTTGCTCCCCATTGCTCGCATCAGCATCTTAGCTCCGCCTCCCTCCCCCTTCCACCTCTCCCCCCCATGCCTGGAAAAATTGTTTTCCTGGAAATGGGGCCCTGGTGCTAAAAAGGTTGGGGACTGCTGCTCCAAGGCATTTTATTTTTAGAGGATCCGTTGTATATTTGTCTCCCCCTGCTGGTTTAAGGAAGGTGTCTTTGAGGCATTAGCAAAACAAACACAGTAGTACGGTACAAGGCAATGATTCTGAAAGTGCAGTCCTGGGCCAGCAGCATCAACATCACCTGGCTACTTGTTAGAAATGCAAACTCCTGGGCCCCACCCCCAAATTTACTAAATCAGTTACTCTAGGAGTAGGGCACCAGCAACCTCTGTTTAACAAGACCTCCAGGAATGGGTGAGGGCATGGGCAGAGATTCATAGTCATTGATACTGTCATACTTGTGCAGTTCATTGAAATTATTTTGGTATTTTTCTTTTTCTTGCCTATCACCACATCGAATTTTTTTCTTTTTTTCTTTTTTCTTTTATTTTAGAGACACTGTCACCCAGGCAGGAGTGCAGTGGCCTGATCCTCCTGCCTCATCCTTCCAAAGTGCTGGGATGATAGGCATGGGCCACCATACCTAGCCACCACATCCAATTTTTTCACCCCTTTTCTATGTTTCCTAAAGTTGATACTGGCACAGATTGCTTCAGGCCCTCCTGTGCTAATGCAAAAACCTCTTGCTTCCTGAGCACCTACTGAGGGTCACCAGATTGACCTTTCCAAAGTACCACATTAATCCTGTATGTCACTTTTAGTGGTTTTCCACTACCTATAGCTTAGTCAGAGGTAAATTACTAGTTCTACGTTATTATGCATTGGGGGAGTGAATAGCAGATTAAAATATTCAGGTTGAGAATCCTTAACCTGAAAATCCAAAATCTGAAATGCTCCAAAATTCGAAACTTTTTGAGTTCCTACAAGACGTGACAAGTGGAAAATTCCACACCTGGCCTCATGTGATGGGCTGTAGTCAAAGCTTTCTTTCTTGCACAAAATTATTTAAAATATTGTATAAAATTAACTTCAGGATATGTACATGAAACATAAATTAATTTTATGTTTAGACTTGTGTCCTATCTTCAAGATATCTTGTTATGTGTATGCGAATATTCTAAAACTTGAAAAAATCCAAAATCTGAAATATGTCTGGTCCCAAGCATTTTTGGATAAGGGATACCTAACCTATATTACTATTATCCTTTAAAGTTCAAATTATTATTTATTCTATGTGTCTGGTCTGAAGTATTTTATAATCCTTTTTTTTTTGGAGACAGAGTCTCACTCTGTTGCCTGGGCTAGAGTGCCATGGCGTCAGCCTAGCTCACAGCAACCTCAAACTCCTGGGCTCAATCAATCCTCCTGCCCCACTTCCCGAGTAGCTGGGACTATAGTGGTGTGATCATAGCTCACTGCAGCCTCCAACTCTTGGGCTCAAGCAATCCTCCTGCCTTGGCCTCCCAAAGTCCTGGGATTACAGGTGTCAGCCACCATACCTGGCCACAATAATATTTTAGAATGCATAAATATGTAGGATTTCAAAGAAAACCAATTGAATTAAAATATAGTCATCAAAATATTTTTAAAATGTGTTATAGTAATATCTTTCTCTTCATTGACACATTAAATGAGTACATCTAGTGGTGGGTCTAATAATTACTGCAAAATTTTGAAGTAGCAATGATTGGAAATGACATTTTGAGATAACTAACAACAAAATGAAATGATTTGTGATTTCTGTCAGTGACAAAAATCACAAGTACTGCTAACACTAATTGGTTTGTTGCCTACATTAATAATCAAAAGAAATGTTAAATTTTAATTAGAAGTTAATAAAACTAAAGATGAAACCCTGATTCTATCCATGGAGCCCAGGTTAAAAACTCCAGGACTAAGGTTTCCCCAAAGTATTAACAGTGCTTATTTCTGAGTGGTAGAACATACGGGTGGTTTAAATTTTTCTTCTTTTCTGTATTTTTCAAATGTTTTACAATAAGCAAATATCACTTTTATATTTATAAAAGACATGAATTGATATATACAAACAAGGGTTGTATTAATTGGTCAGATTCAAGGCACAGAAATAAAATTAGAAAAATTAAGCAATACTTGAAGAGAATCCTTTAGGGAAAAAGAAAAGAGAAACAAAATCCTGCATGAAGAAACTGAACCTTACATTCATCAGGGAGACTTTAAGCTGGTGAAAGCTTTATGCCATTTGTCTTTATATACAAAGGGATCAACTCTTTAAAACACGGTGATGCTGTGGGGCTGAAGCACCACAACTGTTTGACAGGCCACACAGCCACTCTTGGGCCACATTAGAAGTAAAAAGGGAACCCACAGGCCACTATTACCCATGAGCTGAGTAATTTTATTATCCGTTCCTTCTACATCTCTCACTTACCTCCCAGCCTGGACCTGTCTGCCTACTGAATGCTCCAAGCAATGACCCCTACCTACCTCCCCAACTTCGAACTGTTTTCCCCACCTCCAGCCTCTCTGGCCTTTTCTTTTCTTTTTCTTTTTCCATTTGTTTCCTCTGACAGGATACAAGAGAAACACCAATTTGCCTGAGTTTTAAAAGGATATTTCCTTTGCCCCACCTGAATGACCAATAAAGACATAAGTCCAATTGGCAAAGTGAAAAGTGGGCACTCTCTGGCCTTTTGATTCTTTGAGTAAGACGACCGCATTCCAGCCTTGGGGGCTCCGCCTTTCCTGGTCCTTTCTGGCAAATTCCTCCTCCAGAGCTCCCCCAGACCAGTCTGGCTCCTCATCCTTGTAACTCCAGCGTCTCTTGCTAAGAGACACGTTTCCTCACTGCCTTATTTGAAGTCCCCAGTTCATTCCTGCCAGTCAGCATATTACTGCCAACAACACTCTCTGATGTTATTTCCACATCGTCTTCTGCTAGAAAGGAAGTTACCTGACAAGACTGTTCACTGCTGCTGCATCCCTCAGCACCTAAAACTATTTAAGACCTGGCACAGGAATGACTAAGTGGAATGAATGAAAACCTGTGGACTGTCTCCTTAGGGCTCACTCTTGCTGAAAAACAGAAATAAGTTTGTCGAGCGAAAGCATGTTAATAGAGGTTTTAATTTGTCCGCTTAATTGTTGGTCCCTAGGAATCCCTGGAAAGAGACAATCACAGAATACCGGCCGAGCCCAGCCTGGAAGAACTTACGGCTCCGGATCCCGGCACTGCTCTCGGCACGCAACTGCGGCTGCGCGGACTTGGGGCTGGGCGGGGCTCACCCCGCCCCCGGAAGCGGGTCTGGAGCCGGCGAGTCGGCGCCGACGGGCTAGCGCGGCGTGGGTGCGATCTGGTTATGAAGGAAGAGCAGAGCTTCTCGGATATTTGCGGCGGCCGCCTGGCCCTGCAGCGCCGCTACTACTCCCCGTCCTGCCGGGAATTCTGCCTCAGCTGCCCTCGGCTCTCGCTGCGTTCGCTCACCGCTGTCACCTGCACCGTGTGGCTGGCGGCCTACGGCCTCTTCATACTCTGCGAGGTAATGACCGGTGGGCCTCTCCCCGCGCTCGGAGGCAGGGGGTTCGGCTTTCGAAGGATCTTTTGGGTCTTTGGTCGAACCTGGACCTTTAGTCGGACCCCCTCCCTACAGTGGTAGGACCGGAGGACGGAAACTCGCTGTTTGGTTCTGTGGACGCCATTCTGTTGCTCGACAGCTCTTTTCATTACAATTAGTGAAGTTTGGGCTTCTGTGTACAGTACATTCTCCCTCCCAGGGCTGCTGCTGCGCTCTGTGGATCCACCCCGCATTCATCCGGTTCTTGAACGACAGTCTAAAACTTTAACTTCCGTGTGTTGTATGTAGTACACGCACGTAGTTATTTAATTACAAGAGTTCACAGAACTGTTTAATGGATCGTCCTTATCCATCACTTCTACTTCTCAAAGGTATTACTGCTAACAATACCTTACATAGTCTTCCACAAACTGTCTTTGATTCCACAGGTGTATGTGTGTATGTGTATATAGTGTTACAGTTCTTCCTAATCTCAGTGTTTTAGGGTAATTTAACCCTCTCTTCTCCCAAACCCTTTCCCAATTTCAGGTACTTTCTAAAGAATTATGAATTTCCAACATGCATGGTTTCTATGTTCAATTTCCAGACTCATTCCTATTTTCTCTGAGCCTCAATTTTCATATCTCTAAAATGGAATTAATATCTGCCATTTCAGCTTCACTGGTCAAGTGCAGTAACTTTGTGACAGCCCTCAAATAGAATCATCCTGCCCTCAAGGAATGCAGTCCAGAATTACTGAATTTCCCTTATTCTAGGTCATCAATGATTTTTCCTATGCCAGCCTTCTAAATAATAGCTTCTGGGAAAAAGAAAACAGTGCCACATGAAAGAAACACACACTAATAGAAGAACACATTTAAACTTCAGAAATGTTAAAATGTTCTAAACTTGTCTTAGATTCAAGGGTATAAATAAGAGACACCATTTTTTAAGCTTTTAACATTATCACTTAGGCACAGGCAGCTGCAAGTAACACAGAACAACTAGAAGAGCCTTAAATGATAAGGATTATTGTTATTATTGACAGAGTCTCACTCTGTTGTGAAGGCTAGAGTACAGTGGCATCATCATAGCTCACTGCAGCCTCCAACTCCTGGGCTCAAGCGATCCTCCTGCCTCTGCCTCCCTAGTAGCTGGGACTACAGGCAAAGACCTTTATTGTTAAGGAAACAGTAAGTCATGTAGGAGAGCTCCAGAATTTACGTAAAAGGCTGATTTGACTCGCCGTTTTCATCTTGCTGCTCTTCCACCCTTAGTGTACTTTACTTGTCCTTTACTTGGTCTTCCATGTGCAGGCACTACACTTCCACCCTTAGGGTCCTCTAGTTGTCCTCTACTAGCCCTCTACTTGGTCTGGCAGAAGGCATGGTAGTTCCAGGCACCTAAACCTCATGATGAAGGGATCTTCTCTTACTTACATCTTTTTAAGATGGACTGAGTTTTTCAGAAGCTCCTCCAGCAGACCTCCCCTCACATCTCGTCAGCCAGAGTTCTGCCCATGTCCATTTCTAAACCAATCATTGGCTGAAGGAGTCGGAATCAATCATGATTCACTCCAAGTTCTATTAGGAAGGATGAGTGGCTGTTTATTAGGTGAGGAGTAGTATCTGCTACACTGTGCTAAGGACTTTACAGTCGTTCAGTCTATGATTTTGTCCTATATACAGATCGTCCCTGACTTACAATGATTTGACTTAGGATTTTTCACCTTTAGGATGGTGCAAAAACAATACACATTCAGTAGAAACTGTACTTTGAATACGTGTATAACCATTCTGTTTTTTACTTTCAGTACAGTATTCAATAAATTATATGAGATATTCAACACCTTATTATAAAATAGGCTTTGTGTTAGAAGATTTGCCCAACTGTAGGCTGTTCTAAGCACATTTAAGGTAGGCTAGGCTAAGCTATGATGTTCAGTAGGTTAGGAGTATTAAATGCATTTTCAACTTAGAATATTTTCAACTTGCAATGGGTTTATCAGGACGTAACCCCATCCTAAGTCAATAAGCATCTGTATTTTGCTGAGGGAGTGAGAAGATTTGGGTTCTTAAGTTGCAGTTTTGGAAGAAAAATTTCTGAGATTGGTGTGATGGTGGACATTTGCTGATGGAGGTTTTCCCCAGACCTGTTCGTTTGTTGTCTGCATCCATTTCACTATACACTTTCCTAGCATGTCAGAGCCCAAATAAAAGTGATTTCTTCTTTCTGCATGTATGTTCCTCTCATCTGTTCAACTCAACACAACAAAGGCTTTTTTCCTCATTGTCTAGAGATGAGTTGTTATACAGCACAGATACGCGTGGAGGACCACTTGGTAATCTTACCGCCTGTGTCTGGCTCTCTCTTCAGAACAGCATGATCCTCTCTGCTGCCATCTTCATCACCCTCTTAGGCCTGCTTGGTTACCTTCATTTTGTGAAGATTGATCAGGAGACTCTGCTAATCATTGATTCCCTTGGCATCCAGATGACTTCATCCTATGCTTCAGGCAAAGAAAGCACTACCTTTATAGAGATGAGCAAGGTCAAGGATATTGTCATTAATGAGGCTATTTACATGGTAAGTATTTGACAGATAAGTATTATAGGCCTCTCTGGAGGAAGGAGCTGGCTTATGGGGTATTCCAGGATCTAAAACTAATACCTAAAGTGAGGACCCTCTATTCCAATACTTGTAATATTTTCTTTTTGGCTGGTATGTCTATAACCATAAAAGTGTAATTTATATTGAAGAGATAGGCTGGGCGCGGTGGCTCACGCCCGTAATCCTAGCACTCTGGGAGGCCGAGGCAGGTGGATTGTTTGAGCTCAGGAGTTCGAGACCAGCCTGAGCAAAAGCGAGACCCCGTCCTACTAAAAATAGAAATTACTTGGACAACTAAAAATCTATATAGAAAAAATTAGCTGAGCATGGTGGTGCATGTCTGTAGTCCCAGCTACTCAGGAGGCTGAGGCAGAAGGATTGCTTGAGCTCAGGAGTTTGAGGTTGCTGTGAGCTAGGCTAACGCCACGGTACTCTAGCC